AATTATGCAACGCGGCCTAAAAGGTAAAACGAATATATATTTCTCTTATTCTTGATTAATCTTGATCAATAAAGTATCAAATAAGCAATTACATTGATTTTACAACAGGTTACCAGCTGCCGATTTCCTTCTTAAAGAAGGCCAATCAATGACTTGGATCCTTGGTAATAGACTAATCACTGTAACGACAAGTGGTTGCAGTAATAAAGCTATGCGTGGTGGACTTTGTGACAATTGTTGGGCAGCATGTAAACCTGGCTTTTTGTTACTTGATCATACAAAAACCTCTCACTCAAACTTACAGCGTACTTCAAGTGTTGAGGTATTTATCTATACAATTATCTTTTTATTCAGATTTATATATTATTATCTAATCTATGAAAAATTGAAAAGTGATGAATTTATTTAAATATTCTAAAGTATTATTCCAAATGAAATAATATTATACAATTGTAAAAAAGACTTATGTATGTGTACGTGCGTGCGTATCTGCTGTGTCTGTAATATACATATATATTATAATTCGAAATTAGACTAAATTAATCAAATAAAAGAAATAATTCCATTTTCGACCACAAAGCAAATCTTAGATCAGTATTCATAATCGGATCTTTAGATTATTTTTCTTAATTGATATATGCATATACGTGTACGTGTGTGTGCGTGTAAGTATTATATATATGTATATATATATGAAAATAACTTTTTATGTACAATTGTGTGTGTAATAATATTATTCGTTACTTTTTTTATGCACCACACTGAAAACAGTACTTATAATACTGTATTATAATTGCAATGCATATAATACATATGCTTAAGAAAAGACATACATATAACATAAGTAATTATATTGATAGACATCGAAAGAAGATAAATTATCTAGACAATCTTCTGGTGGTCATGGGAGTTCAAATGCAAACACTGCTACAAATTCTCCTACGGAAGAATCTAAAAAATCTACAGAAGATTCTGATAGTACGAAAAAGGAATTTCTTATGGAGAAAACTGACAAGGATCAAATTGAAACATCAAAGTTGGGACAAATATTAAATAACGATAAACAAGATGGACATATATTGTGTGCTTGCTGGTGTCAAGGATGGGCTGAAATATATGTTCGTAGACCTACAGGCGATATGTCATGGATTATGAGAATTCAGAATTCAACACAATTTGAAACTCCTATGGATTTTCCTGTACATGATATTATGGCTTTATATATGCCAAATCAAGATACAATACAAAATAAACAACAGGAGGCTGCTTCGGAATACTCAGATGATGAAACAGAGGTATTTCTAAAATTAATTAGTAATAAATTTTATTTAGAAAAAAAGGACTTATAAATATTTCTTATTACAGGATGTGCCAAACAAAAGTAATAATCAGATACAAAATGAACATGTGAAACCGATAATTTCGTCTATAGTATCAGGTCCAATTGCAATACCTGGTTCGCCAGCTCGACCTAGTCCATCTCGGCAAAGTTCAAGAGACAGTTTAGAAAGTTTAGAAGAAGGTGAAGAAGGTATTTATTATATTATATATAGTATTTATATTAATAATTTCAAAAAAAAAATCTAAAAGGATGGAAACTTTCCACAGATATGCGACGTTCCAGAAATCCAGTACGACGATCGAATTCTAGTCCAGAAATGAGCGCTAATTGGAAAAATCCCTTTTTAAATAAAGAAAAACTAAATTTGCAACAACAACAAATTGATAAAGATTTTAATTGCTCAGAGCTAGAGATTAAATTGGATGCAGAATTAAAGAAACATTCAAAAAATATTTATACAAAAGACATGAGGTATATATTTTTTATCAAAAATATGTATATATTTATTATTATTATGTTTATTGGTAATTGGTAATAGAGAAAGAAGGATAAAATAAAATTCGGAAAATTTTGCGCATCCGAAGTAATGCTTATATTCAAATAAATTATTAAGCTGAAGCGTTACATTAATTGAATTTTATCATAAAAAAACATTTTTAATAACTAGATTTTTTAAATTTATATTTGCATAATTTATAGAGTTAGTTGCGAAGCTATACCAGAAGAAATATTTGGCATGGGAACAACTCCACCTTCTTCAGAAAATGCTGGAGATCATCCTACTGCATTACGTTCGCAACGTTCTTATCCAGGAGCAACACAAATTACTCAAACCATTTCAACAAACAGTAATACCGTACCACCATCTCCTACAACTATACAGGTTAAAATAATATACTAATAAAGTATTAAGAAAATAACAAATGTTATACTTTTTTATGTAATGTGAAAATTATTTTAGGCTCCAGGAAGCTATTTAGGAATGCAAACACGTCCTGCACAGATACAATCATCTACTACAAAAGCGCCGCAATCACCTACTCAAATTTATTCTCGATTATCTAGTCTCGATTATAATCAGAAGCAAATTCTATTAACTGTTGAAAGTAAACCACCTATTGGACGGACTCATATTGTAGATAAAGTATGCCAAAGAACTATTTCTTATTTTTAGTATATTTCACAAATTATGATTGTTCATTCATTTTAACAGAAAGATGAAAGGCCAGATCCGTCTACATTGCCTCCTTTACCTATACCTTTTCGCGATAGAGGTCACACAATCTCTGTTATGAGCCCAGCTAAAAAATCACGAGAATGGGCTGATAACATGCGACGGGGCAATTCCCCTCGAGTAAAAGAACCACCGCGAACAGGCATTAATCCGAGGTATTGTATTTACCATGTATCTTTTTATGAAACTATACGTGCGTACGTGCGTGTGTGTATGTGTGTTATACATTTTTTCATATTTTAAAATATTTTAGCATACTATATAAGAATTACCTCTTTTCTCTCTTGAGATAAGAAATTAATATGTTGTTCCGTTACAGTTTTGTGTTCCTTCAACTTTACCATGCAGCGCATTTTGGTACTACTACAGAAAAGCCTTTACTGGTTCCACAAACGACAGCCATACAACGCGCAGTTACAAATCTAGATAGAATACAGCCGTATGAAACTCACAAAATTGGAGTACTTTATGTTGGCCAGGGTCAAGCTTCAAATGAAATTGAAATTTTAGCAAATCAACATGGTTCCCTTCGTTATACTGAATTTTTGAAACGTTTAGGAACACTAGTTCGATTAAAAGACGTCGATGAAAATATATTTTTAGGTGGATTAGATCGTAATGGTGAGAATGGAGATTTTGCTTATGTTTGGCAAGATGACGTTACGCAGGTTTGTAAATAAAAATTGTATATATCAAATTAATTCAATTCGTTATTCTTTCATGTGTGATTTTTAAAATAATTTTATTTGAAAAAACTTTCTAGGTAGCTTTTCATGTTGCAACATTAATGCCTACAAAAGCAAGTGACCCAAAATGTACATCTAAAAAAACACATATTGGAAATAATTATGTAACACTTGTGTACAATGAATCTGATGAGCCATATAATATACAAACAGTTAAAGTGTGTATAAGATTGAAATGTTTTACAAGATGTGTTTCAAAATCTTGTTGTATATGTACATATATAATTTTTGTTATACTCTTATGTGTATTTTCAGGGCCAATTTAATTATGCCTGTGTTGTGATACAACCTTTAGATCATGGTACTAACCAAGTTACAGTACAAGCACGAGAAGAATTGGCTGAGCATATTGGTCACAGCGAGCCTAAAATTATTTCCGATCAAAATTTGGCTATTCTTTCACGGCAACTTGCTTTGCATGCTAATGTAAATATCATAAAAGCTCTTACGGAAGAATTAGCTGTAACATGACATAATATAATATAATTAATTACAGCTAGCCTCAATGGTTTGTTCGTCTTTGAAACAAAATAGTCATAATCCATATGCTTCTAATTGGTTGGAGCGCTTACGTCACATCAAGCGCTTGAGAAGCAGAGTCTTGCAAGAATACATCAACAATAATCCGGAGACTACTGCGGATGAATTATCACCAAGAACCAACAAACGAGTATATATGGATGACTTCACAGAATATACAACATAGTTTTTGTATCATTTATAGTAAAATATTGACGAATGGAAACAGTTAAATTAGACCAAATTAATGCATTTAAAAAATAAATATGCATTAATTGTTAAATCAAAATATTTTAAAAGTTTACAAATTTTCCAAAATTGAATGTATAATATATTAATATATTAAGATGAATAATACTTTTCGTTATAATATATCACGAAGTCTTACATGTATAATTATATAATTAATGTTCTTTGCTTGTAACGTAAATAAAAAAATTACAGTTACCCTAATTTTCACATTAAAGTTTTTTTTTTAGAAAAAGTGATTGAATATAGAATATATATACAATCAAATTTGAAGAGAATTTGTTACAAATTTATAATTTACTTAAATAAAGGATGGAAAAATTTTGAAATAATTGTGATTATCAACTAATTTTTTAAAAAGTTGATAATATTGACATGTTTTACATGTTCGTACAACTTTTTTGTAAACCCTTGTATTCACAGTGCTAGACTCCAAATTCTAGGATCGAGAAATGTCTAGCCAATTAACTTACTGGTTTTGTGTAGTATGCGTATCAAGTGCACGATCAACAAATGGGTGCATCCAGAAGCACGACCGCTCACTGAGCATTCAGTGAGCTCTTGTATCTGTTTGGTTTATATTTTTAAATCTAATGGAATATACTAATCAGATTAAAGAAACTCAGTGAGCGGTCGTGCTTTTGGGGGTCGATTCTGTATCTTGAAACAAGATGAAAATTACAAAAGTAAGCAAATTTACTATAAGTTATTGATCAATTATTAATATTCTTAAAATTATTAATATTCTAGTAAATTTGCTCATTTTTATATTTTTTACCTTATTTCAAAATACATACCCATTTAATACGATGACTGATTGCTCACTGAGCGCTCAATGAGTTCTTGTATGTGATTGGCATATTCCGTTGGATCTAAAACTTAAATCTATAAACCAAACAAATATAAGAACAAGAGATCTGGAATCTGGAGCGATCGTCATAACGAAAATACTCTGTTGTTCGGGCAAAGGAATATGTCGAATAAATACTTATTTCTACAATCAGGATTCCCGCGAGCACCTTTTGGTCTTGGAATCGGACGTTATGTCTGTCAGTTACAGAGAATAACATTAAAGTTTTGCAAAAGTCATGGTACAAGTAGAGGCCTAAGGTGATTCTAACCTTTATTCACATGGATATTTTCTACCCAATACAATTAAAATTTTTTCTCTTTTTATGCTTCTCAAATTAATATTAAATTTTATTTTGTAGAAATTTTATAGAACATGATTTAATTAATTACGCAAAAGAAAATCCAGGAGTTGTAATATATGTTAAACCAAGAAGGCACAGGCATCCAGTCATAGTCGCTGAATATCGTACGTTTGTGTCCATCTGTGAAACATCGCAATTGCATGTTTAAAACCTTATTAGTGTAGTGCTAATATTGAATATATATTTTGTTCAGTGAATGGCGAGAGACAATGGATGGAGGTTGCTAATTATAGCCAGGATGATGTTGTAAAATGGATGGAATTGTTACGAACACAATTTCATAATGGTTCTTCATTGAGATATCGTAAACTGTGGCACACAGAATTTCCATCAATTCAGGGGCCATGGACACCATTTACCTTTAGAAATCCTATGATAAACTTGAATCAATTTCCTAATGTAATTATGCTTTTATGCTGCAAAAACAGATTTTTCTATTTTATATAATTGTATCAAGATTAGTTCTAAAAATATTGTATATAGTTTTATAAAATGTGTATTTTGTTATTTTTTTTATAGAAAGAGCTTGGTGCAGCTGTTAAGCTTGGTCCTACAGCAACGGAACAACTTGTTCAATTATTCAAGGCTCAGCAATTAGCTGACAATACAGTTAATGATTCCAAAAAAATTGATCAAAATGTTGAAGAAATTTCCAAACATGTTCAAAGCACATAACTTTTTAAGCAATTTTAATATAGCAGTTTGTATTTCTAATTTATAGTATGTATATAAATATATATAATATGAAAGGTATTCTTTTTATTTTAAATCATAAAATGAAAACTAATCTAACTTTTAAAAAGGTATCCTGAAACAAAGACCGAACTTGATCAACGTCGATAAAACCATGGATAAGATATGACTTTTTAATCCCAAATAAAAATACATTAATAATAACGGTATCTTCAATTATTTTTTAGAGTCTAAGTACAAGAATTGTCATAAAGGCCGTAGCACACAGATAAAGCAGTAAAGTTAAAAAAGCAGTATAATCATTTACAGTTCGATTTTAAAGATTTATCGCTGAATAGAATTAAAAACGGGACTTCAGTATTCCCTTAAAACAAATTAAATTTTTTGTTGACTGTAACTCAAGATGTATTTATATAAGATATATGAAAGATTTAGGATAATACACAAGGATCATCTGGCTTTTTCTTATGAATCTTTGAACACTTTTGTGTACTGCAATTTGTGTAATGCAATCCACGTGATTCAAAAAATGATTTGGAAGCGTGAAACCTTTCTTGAGAAGTTCCTTCACTTGGTGTTTTCTGTAAAAGAAAAAGTTATAATCACGTTGTAGGTATTATACGCACGTGTCTCTTTAATTATCAAGTATTACCATCTGTTTAGGTTGAACATTTTCACCTCTATTCGGAATTAAATCAGAAACTGTCCCATCTGGTCGAATTAGTTTCACATGCGAATGATTGTATTCTGTAATAAATAACGTTTTTTTAATTATTTATTACTATTTAGCTAATCGAAAATTATTTTTTACACTTATTACATAATATAAACATAGGTAATTACAAAATACGCACGTGTATTTTTGGGTGTTGAGTAATTCATTGTATTGTGATTTAAATTTGTTTTCGGAACATCAGGAAAAGCCTAAAAACGTTTTTATCTATTTAGTCTATTCTAATATGTAGCTAGGAAAGATGTAAGAGGAAAAAAATACCATTTTATTAATTGAATCGTTAATTTTAACTTCAGAATCTGCTTGATTATTCCATTTGTCATTATTCTACAACATAAAATTATCTCTATGATATTCAATGTATGTGTGCGTGCGCGCGCGCGCGCGCGTGTGTTTAAAACTATATCTACATTTTTTTTTATCCGTAACAAGCTTCACCATTTTTTCTTTTTGCCTTAAGCGGGGAGCACAGACTTTTGCATAACGCATAAACCATATACATAAAGAATTTGATTGGTCCATTGACTCATGCATAAGAAAATGGACCAATGAAATTCCTTATGCACATGCTTTATGCGTTATGCAAAAGTCTGTGCTCCCCGCTTTAAAATATTGACAGCTTTTAGTATCTTTCAATATTGAAAGAAATTGTTTTCCATCAATTTGTTTTGTTTCTAGTGTAGTATGCATATACAGTGATACATTGCACCAAAAAAACATTGTTAAAAATATTTTATTAGTCATACATATATAAATAAAATATCATATTTTATAAATGTATAGCATTGTCTGTACTATATGATAATTATATATTATATTATAAATATTTTGTTTTATATATATATATATAAAACAGATAAATTATTCGAATATTTACTTATCACTATATTATACAATATATTATCTTATACATGCATATATGAAGAAAATATAAATAACGATACTAATTTTGTTAATTTTTCTTTAAATTATTTACCTTTGATGTGAATTTCATTTGTTGCACCGGATCCAGTAAATTCTTATTCACCTATAATATTAAGGAATACAATATTATAGAATCATAATACAAATGATCATAAAATAACTCATTTTAATAAAGTTGATAAATATCTTCTATTTTTAATTAATATATTATTTTATCTATAAATAACAATTTATTACCTTATTCATCTTAAAATTGTAACCCTTACAGCAATGGGAAAAGTGATTTATGTCACCACATTTTGTGCACTTTGATCCCCAAGCAGGACACTTCCCTCGTGGATGCTGCTGATTACATCTCCAACATTTCCTCACAATATTATCTGAAGGTTTTGGTGTAAAATTTGTAAAGTCTCTAGTTTCTTTAGTAACTTGTTTCATCTTTTCTGTATTAATGTTATAGTCATGATAAATTGCTACTAGCTTTGGCAAATCTAAATTGTCTGCTTCAAAAAACTTTTTACGCAGTATTTTGTCATAAGTTTCAAGAATTATTTTGTCTCGTATAATGCTGTCTAGCATATCATTAAAATTGCAAGTTTTCGCTTTTTCCTGTAAAAAAGAACAAAGGTTTCAATATATGTGCTGTGTGTGTACAATATACAATAAAAATATCACAAGTATCACATACTTTTAAAATATTTATATATTGTTCAATAGATTCATTTGGCTTCTTTACTCTTGTAAAAAAATGATATCGTTCAACCACTTCTTTTTTTGGTGGATTAAAATATTCTTCAAGCTTTTTAATCAATATATCTATGTCATTTTTATCTTGTATATTGTCAAAAGATATATTTTGAATTGCCTCAATACCAACTGTTCCAATCCGATTTTTTAAAAGATTTGCACGGATTTCACTAGGTTGATCAATATACCCAGCTACTTTTAGAAATATAATAAAATCTTCTTTCCAAGTTTGCCAGTTTCTGGCCATATCATCACCTTTTGTTAAAGGATCAGGAGCGCGAGCGTGTGCCTCCATGATAAATGCGAAGCTAAAAAGAACAGAAAAATATAATTAATCTTCTTTCAGAACATTAATTTTAATTTATTTTCTAAATTTGTATATCAGATTGTATACATATACAGATTAAAAATACAATATTATCTTTATAAGATTTTTACAAAAAATGTAAATGAAATGCTCGAATAACAATTTATAAAAAAGAATAAAATTCTTACATTGATACAACAAAGGAAAACAAAATTATTAAATATAAAAAATTAATGCTTTTTCAATTATATGATTGTAAGTTTGCTATTATCTATGTGTATGCAAAAGTCGCTTTTTCCATTGTTTAAAAAAATGCCAACAGATGTAATAAGGTATTCATGTTACTTTTACGAAAACAATATTAAGCGCATCAATAATTCAAACGTAACTACATTGTGTTTGTACTTTTTTTTTGCATGCATTTTGCATGACTAAATTTTGGCACTTACATGGACACACAAATTACATTATATTTAATTTTACTAATATAATTAATAAAATATGTTATATCAATTTCTCACTATTAAAGTGATGGAAGTTATACAATACAGAGTTGTCCAGGACTAGGGATCGTATTCTTGAAAAATATCGCATACGAAAATTTACGAAAATACTATAGTATATGTTACGTATATTATATACATTTTCCTAGAATTTTCGTATACAATATTTTTCAAGAATAAGGTCCCGGGTACTTTTGACTTGAAATTGAAATGTGTCGGATTCATGCCTATTACCGTTCCTACTCCTCACTTTATTGCTATTTTTTTTTATTGAACGCTCGGTTAAGGAATGGGCAATAGTCTGAAATTGTCGCAAAAGTTTTTGACCTGTGTTATTCATTATATAATTTCTCTCTGATAATATATTTAACTATAAAAATGAATTTTACATATACATATACACATATATAGAGTAAAACACCTAAAACAATATCGGAATATCTTAAAAATTAAATACGCGTAAGGGAAAAATTTTTTTCGACAAAAGTCGTGTGACAAAGCGATAATCTCCATGACCTTGAAAAATCGATTTTGTTTTGAAAAATGATTTTATCATTATTTGTTCCTCTTCGAATCACATTTTTTTCTTTTGTCTGAAACATTTTTCCCTATGTGTTTAATTTCCGAAATATTCCAATATTTTAGGTGCCTTACCCTGTATATAGACACATATATATATATATATAAATAAATAAATATATATATAGATATATATACACTATTAAATATAATGAATGACACAGATCAGAAACTTTTAACAATTTCAAACTAATATATCATCCCTGAAACCAAACGCCACACATTACATTAAAACAGTAATGATGATCAATTCCTTCTGAAAAAAGAATATTTTTAAATATTTATTAGAACTTTTTGATATTATTGATACGAGTTGTTACCATAGTTACAATAAATGTTTAAAAATTCTTTCTCTTGAAATAATACTTTAATATGTCAAACTAATGGCTATACTTACAACAGAATGTTTATTTTGAGACTGTTGAGTTTTTCTTGTTTTGTAAGAAGACTTATTCTTTTGTTCTAGGTATAAAAATATAATCCAATCAACACAAAGAAAACTTCGAACAGTTGCAAATTAAACATTCTATTGAATGTGGCCAATGATTATCAAACTCTATCAAATATTTTTCCTGTGCTACAAATAATAGTAAATGTTATCCTGTTTAAAAATCTTTAAATGTTTATAACTTTCTAGAAAAGCATTTTCGGGCACGTGTTTGCATAAAATATTTTTTCGCATGTTGGTCATTATTAAAATACAAGTGTTTGATCCAGGGCTATGTTCAGATTCCCACCCGAGTGCCACACAGGTATATATCCTTCTATCCTTATTGTTTGCCAAATGTTAAACAAGGATGACATGATACCCGGGGAGCACTCGGGTGGGAATCTGAACACGCCCCAGTTTGATCGTAACTTTTATAGATATTCTTTTTAATGTATATTTCATGTACACAATTTCTTTTTTCCTATACACCTGAATTATATATGTATAGAATATTAATCGCTAAAATAAAAATGTGTGAAATCAAACAAATAGAATAAAGGTTCAATATATATAAGTATTTCTAATTTTTTAAAGATAGTTAAATACGCCATATTCGATCTTGTGATGCCTGATGACTCGTTGTGATTAACGTAGCATATAACTTCCACAATGATTATTTTTCTAACAAGTTTTTTAATATTATACCTACCTAATCGTTGAAAATAAGATTCCGCGCTTGTCGATATAAAATTATATTTGAATCAAAGAGAAACCTTTAAATCAGCATGTATAAAGCTTGGCTGTGTAACAAAAGTGAATTCACACTTATACTCTCCACTCCAGTAGTTCAGTTTACTGACTCTGGCGATAACAACGACAATGTAATCGTCAGTCCTGTATCACGGACTTATATGATTCATATATTCCTAAGTCCGTAATCTATGGACATGTTCGGTGAAATGTGAATACAATACGGGTATTCCCCACGTATATATACATTCTCAAGATTTTAGGCGCAAACTCAGGCCGATGAGCCAATCAGAATATTGCTTTAGATCCATGTATAGGCCTCTGTACATACACGGTCAGTAATACTATCAATATCAACGAATATTAACAATATTATTGATTGTGTGTAGTTAATATTAATGGATTGACATATTGACGATGATTTGGATTTAAATAGATGCTTTTTTTTTCCTTAAGATCCATGTCGTCATAGATGATAATATACGTCAAATCACGTCAAACTGAAGTAAAATATTATGGGCCTTCTACAATAAGCCATAAGTCATAAATCGGAAGTAAGAAACTAAAAATTGACGACTGTGATTGGTCCATTTCTAGCTTATGATTTGTGACTTACGGCTTATTGTAGAAGGCCCATCAGTATTACTGACCGTGTAGGGAGGCCTTAAAGGACACGTACGAAAATTTTAGTAGAATCGTAAGGTCTTAAGCAAATCGACCAATCATAATCAAGATTACGATCTCACATTTTAATACGCTGTGATTGGCCGATTTGCTTAAGATCTTACGATTGCTACTAAAATTTTATATGTACGTGTGATGGCCTTAATCTGAGTCCGGGGGCTCTATTCTTGAAAAGAAACGTATACGAAAGTCTAGGGAAATACTATAGTATACGTTACGTATACTATAGTATTTCCCTAGACTTTCGTATACGTTTCTTTTCAAGAATAGAGCCCCTGGAGCCATAACTCGATCCGAATTCTCGGACAGAGAAATGTGCGACCAATCAACTTGTCGTTTTTCCGTAAAAACTACATGTTGATTAGCTACACATTCCTAGATTCAAGAACTCGGACCGAGTTCTAGCATCGTGAACACAGGAGTTAATAAGAATAAAATAATGGATGTTTTCCATTTGATGACACAAGCATCATTCTATCTTTCTTGACATTTAGAGAGCGATAAAGATAGAATATTTGTGTCGACTGTGTCAACAAATGGAAAGCACCCAACGGCGTCCATACATTTATCTTTAGGTCTGTTCTTTTTAGCTAAATTTCTTGCATTGTTCATCTTTTTCCCTACTGTTTCCACGTTGGAGAGAAAAAGAGAAAAGATGAACCGTGCAAGTTCAGCTAAAAAAGAACAGGCTTTTTATCTTTAGTTCTCACCCTTTTTATCTCATTGTGTTGCTTGTTCGTTGAAAACAAGCCTGTAGGATATACGGGTATTTGCGCCATTTGCGGTGGCGTTTGGCAATTTAGCGGAATTAAATTGCGTTGGACGTTCGCTCGGTTCGAATAAGGCTTGCTGAGGCTTGCGAAGGCTAAGCAAACTGGCGACACGATCGGAACAATTGGCAAATGAATGCGGTGTAGCTTCGTATGTATTGTAGGTACTACATGTTACTCGCTTGTGGTTCATTCGCATGACGCCTGACTGGAGCCGCTGGAGCAGGAGCAACACGAAGGCGACCAGCGAACAACGTGATCGGTGGTTCGTCGACGTGATCAAAACGTGATGACGTCAGATCTCGAAGCATAGCCAAAGCATAGGCTGCATAGGCCGAGAAGGAACGCGTTTAAAGCCGAGTAGGGCGTGAAGTCGTGCGCTCGTTCTTTCCAAGTTCTCTCGTGCGTCGCGTCGCGTCGGATGGAAGTATGTGCGAATAACAGCGCGCGCGCGCGGCCCTTTTATCCACGGGATAATTATGTTCGGTGCTGTTTTAACGTGATCGACAGTGAATAGTGTACCATGTTCCGCTGCATTCCAATTTTTAAAGGGTGTAACAGGCAGGTGGAATACGTTGACAAGCGTCATTGCTCGCTGCCATGCGTCCCCGACGATATCCTGCGATACTCGAGGAGTTTGGAGGAGCTTCTACTGGACGCGAATCACATTCGTGATCTACCAAAAGTAAGCGACTACTACCTCGACTACTTTCGTCTTCCTTAAGTGTATAACTTAAGTCTTTCCTTTCTTCTATCTCACGCGTACACAACAAAACACGCACCATCCCCTTCCTACCGTTGTATTGTGTATATTGTATTTCTGCTGTATCTACTAGTCTATCGCCGCCGTACACGAGGATTGTATAGGTCTAATAATTAAACGTCTCTTTTCGCTTTATGCGAAAGCCAGTCGATCGAGAACCTCTACATGCCGATGTCGTATTTCTTTCAGAATTTCTTCCGACTCCAGCGGCTACGAAAACTTGGCCTGAGCGACAATGAGATACATCGTTTGCCACCGGACATTCAAAATTTCGAAAACCTCGTCGAGTTGGACGTGTCCAGAAATGGTGAGACGAGTATTCGTACGATTTTTTTTAAATTAACAAATTTTTGAAGCTGCTTTATTTGCGCGTGAGATAACTGCAACCGGAGCATGGGAACGCCGCTAGGAATTCCAGTAATTAATCGTAATTAATCTTATTAGAAGAGCTTCGTTAATGATATCTCGCGTCCTAGGCGTCGCGATGTCATTTTTATTGTTGACACGCTGCTTTTCCTTTGATTATGAAAGCTTTGCTGTGATCTTTAAAAAGTGCTGGAAGAAGAATGAGAGTCTCCACGAAAAGACCCCAAGTACTAAGGAGCGACTTAGCGCTTAAGAAGAGAATCGAGTAAAAAGTGTAGCCATCGACTTGATCTACGGAGGCAAAGTTACTGAAAGAGAATCTTGTGTATCGCACTTTTAATATTCAACACGGCAACGCCGTTGGCCGTGTGCGTTAATGAAACCTGTATAACGGTGTATTTTCTTTCGCTTCCTCTCGTCGTTGCCTTCATCGTAGCCGCCGTAGCGCGTCACCGTGCTACCCATTGCTACCGTCGCCACATCGCGTTAGGCCGAACTAAGCCGAACGAAGCCGAGTCGCCCCGCCTGTCACTGGCGCCTATCGTGAATATTTTTTTCAACATAGTTATTTCCCTTTTTTCTCTCTCTCGCTCTATCTGATGTAATCCGTTGTCTCGAATAAAAACCGGGGAAAACTGAGGAAATGAAGAATCTTTCTACAAATTACTGTGTATTTGTAACACGGCGAGTTGATATTTTTGGGTCTCGCCAGGTAGAAATATACATATATGAACTTGTTTACACGCGCGTACATGTGTGTGCATTTGTGTGTACAATGCGTGCACGTAGAAAGAATGTCAGGGAAGAAGAGAGGAGAAGCGGAGCGAGACGACGGGGAGGAGGGAGTGACATTCCGATTATGATAAGAGAAAATCGGTAATTTTATTTTTAAGATCGTGTATGTGATGTTTTTTTATACCTGCTTAAACAGTTCTTCGTCCCTAAAATTTATTTTGATCAATTGATACACGTGTAAGCTTGATGGCTATTTACAAGAAAAAAAAACGCGGTTTAAATGAGACGTATTTATAACAAATTTCTAAGTATGTTAGGATTATATCGCGAAGATCGGGAATTGGAAAATTATTAGAATTATAATAATTTTAATTTTAATCCTACTCGTCTCGTTTGGTCGAATTCTATAATCTTCGATTCTCTTTCTCTCTCTCTCTCTCTCTCTCTCTCTCTCTCTCTCTCTCTCTCTCTCTCTCAAAATCTTTAATTTCCAATGCACAGTTCGCGCGTTAGTTCTGCGCTCGTGCTTTACAAATATTCTTCAGTAAACTCTGTGAAGGAATATTTTTATATTAGATTAGTAGCTGTCAATGATTGGTTGACCGAGAAAGCGCAACAGTTTATTGACAAGCGCGAGCATGGTCGACCATGCATGCAGTCGTTGCATGTTTTATGTACGTTAATGGAGTATATTTATCATACGTAATATCAAATAGTATTTTCGCTTTTATTACGTTATCGTGGAAACGTGAAAAGATAACGTAATAGATACGATATCGCGAGAATAGTGGTGGCAAAAATTTAACATTTAAAAGTAAAAAATTCGTGGTCTGTGAGGCCAGTCGATCTCAGAATTGGATACAAATTTTCAGCGACTAAACGGAGTCTAGGATTTGTATTCATAATTGATTCTTATATTTAAGACCTTAAGTATAGTCATTAGATATTTATCGCAATAAGATCTTAACAAGCTAATCATATATAGAATCATGTATTATGCCCGTTCCCATCAATGTAGATTAACTTTAATGTAGATTAACTTTAATCTCGGTTTAACTTACTGTTCATCTTTTTCTAATTTGTAGAACTAGAAAAAGACAAAGAGCAAATTGAACCAAGATTAGAGTTAATCTGCATTGGTGGAAATGGGCATTAGTATCTTAAGATGTTATTGCGCTTAAGACGGTCTTGAAATAAGAAGCAATTTCTCGACTCAATATTTCTCATTATATCTCGCAGTAATATTTCGACTAAAAGGAAGGATTATTTAGAGATTACGAATTTATATATACAGATATCCAGTATATTAAGATTTCTTTAGTATATGCCTATTGAGCATTAAAATTTAATTGTAATATTATTTAATAGTTTAGTTGCGTTTTATGTCTGACAAAATTTGCGCAGTTCAAAATGATTATAAATATAGTACACGTGCAAGTACATACATATATGTATAGTATATACACATAATTCAGTACATAATTTACATTAAATTGCTTAAACATTGGAGATCATTTCTATTTTTTATTTGTTAAAAGAATTATGTTGATATTTACCATTACTTTTCCCATCATAAATGTATTTCGCAGTTATCGTTTATAGGCAAGTCGAAAAGATGAACCTTCTTTGAAAAGCACAGGCAATACGAACAGGGAATGACAGATATACCGTGTATTCTGGTATAGACGGTTTTTGATGGGTTGAAAAATCTGTGTTATTCTCTTCCTATTGCTTGCGCTGTTCAATTGTGTATTAGACTTAATTATTACGACTATGGCATCGTATCATTGGGAGCGCGTCGCGATTTCCTACATTCATACTATATATAATAGATGGACGCGTTGCATGCATACGTAGCATCGTTGCCTGCGTAAGTGTAGGCATTTACGATCAATTATGTATTGAGAAAGATGTTATGTATTTGGTTCCGTTTACAACAATATCCGTACATTCGTTGCCACTGAGTCATCCGAAATGGCAAATGAGCGCGTGATGAATAACCGCGATGTTACACGCGACATGCAACACGCAGGATAGAAAGATAGAACTCCACTCCGTCGCTCGAATGCGTAAAAGATAAAGATTACGCAATCGCAACAGGTTTCGGATCGAGAAGGTTACCGCTCGATCGAGATAATCATTGAACTTATCCCTGCGCTAGATCGTAGTCGCGCTGTCGCGTTCGCCGACGTCGTACCTTCCAATCGAGCTTTTTTAATTTTCCTTTGTCTCTCTCTCTCTCTCTCTCTCTCTCTCTCTCTCTCTCTCTCTCTCTCTCTCTTTAATCACGTTTATATTCAAAGTCATAAAGCTTTCTTATCGAACCGATCCGATATAATTTGACACAGCAAGTGTTAAATTCTAAAATCTAGACTGTTTCCGCTTGGAAATAAATATGTATTTTTAGAGTTTTTCATATACGCATATTTATGCTTGTGTTTTATAATTATTTATAACTACCGAATGGAAATTATTCGACGATTATTCTCAGGAATCGAATTAGAGATGGAACAAAACTCATAAATATGTTTTAATAGACAAATTGGAATGGAAGTAGAATGGCGAGATTTCTTCTCATCGTCTTCTCGTCCTTTTATGTAGGTTCTCTCGGCACGCAAACACGACGTACAATACAGTAACGATCTCCCGTCACCTCTCTGAGGTAAATTACAAAGGCCGAGGGTGGACGTTTCATGCTATTTATAATGTTTATTGCGGTTGCATCAAAAGGGGCCGCTGACTAGTCGCGATGTGTAGTAGCATCTGAACATTGACGTCGCTTGCTTGCATAAAAAAGGGAAAAAGGGCGTAATATGTCCTAGGCTGCCTCTGGACCGTCGCATCTCCATCCATCCATAAATTCTTTCTTTTATAGAATCGATCTCTCTCTGTCTCTCTTCTGTAGTGTAAACTCATCGCAGGTCAACACTCGACTTGGCAATTTTTCCAATTTCAATGTCAAATCTATTTCTGTAATAAAATATTTAAAAAATGTCCTCTGGTAACTCATTAATGCATTCTTCATATATTTGTTATAAGTGTACCTTTTATAGTTAGACATTTTTTATTACCAGTTAATTTATAGAATAAATTTTTATCCGTAAGACATGCATAAAACTACTCCAAAATTATATATTATAAAAATTTGTAATGAGATATATATATATATATATATTGCATACCTATAATTATAAGCTTTCTTAATATATTAAATTATATGAAACGATCTTAATTGAAAGAAACTCAAGTTTTTGTCGCACTAACATTACAGTTACAATTAAAATGACTGCGTGATGAGAAAGTCGACGACTGAAAGAAGTTGTCACGTATTTTTTTTCGTAGCGGAATCACGCTTTGTTGTAATTTCCTCTTGTCGGTATTGCGTTTGACTCTTGCGATATGATGGAGCCATTCCAGACATGAAACGAAATATTCGGGGCAACGAGCTGACTTATTTTTTTCGATGAAATATGAAAAGTGTATAAAAATTTAAGTATTATATATAAATATTATAATAAGTATTATATATAAAATTGAGAGAATTTCTTTAGTCATTAATTTTGTAAAAATATCGTTAATAATAGACTCTGAAATAAATAAATAAAATAGGTAAGATGTATAGCATTGCGTTTGAATATTTTAATTTTGCTCGTTTATTGCACACGTGCAACCGCACACTTTCTCGCAAGTATGAAAATAAAAATTTAATTATTAAAATGATTGAACTTATTTTATAGATATACCAGACATTCCTGAAAATATCAAGAATTTACAAGCGCTACAGGTGGCAGATTTCAGCAGTAATCCTATTCCAAGGTTATTCAATTGTTCTTACCCTTCTCCTATTTTTCAATTCAAATAACACTTTACATTTATATATACATTTTGCAGTATCTTCTTTCCTCTCAACAATGTATTCTTAAATATTCTCTTCGATCCAAAAGCAATGTAAATTTTCATTGATTGTTTCTTTCTTCAGGCTTCCAGCAGGATTTGTACAGCTGAGAAATTTAACTGTACTCGGACTTAATGATATGTCCCTTACAAACTTGCCATCTGATTTTGGAAGGTAATATCAAAGTAAATTTTAATAGTTTAAAGTTACAATGTTTTATATATATTAGGAATTATTATATAATTTTAGTCATTGTTTCACAAATTATTAAAAGTACATATTTATCTTGTAGCTTGGAGGCATTGCAGTCACTGGAATTAAGAGAAAATTTGCTCAAATCCTTGCCTGAATCGCTCTCCCAACTTTTAAAACTCGAACGATTAGATCTCGGTGATAATGAGATTGAAGAGTTGGTAAGTTTTGCAACTTTTTGTCTTGAAATTAACAATACAGTGAATAAAAACAATCATATCTTTTAGGAAGAATGTTTTTTTTTATTATCTCTTATGCAAATACGCACGTGTTTGCGTGTGTATACACATGTATATTTGTATAAATTTTTATTTTTATTCTGATAATGGATTCTTATAACAAAAATATCTTAAGGATAAGGATATCCATATTGTATTAGATCACATTGCTATAAATTTTACTTTGATCGATAGATTTGTTTATTATTTGAATTTAATTAATACTTTTTTATGATTTGACACACAGTTTTATATTAATTGATTAAATTAGTTTTATTGTATAAACTTTAGTCGTAAATTGATTAAAAAAAGAAATGAGAAGAAATAATTATTTTTATTGTATATTTTCTTTATAGCCTGCACATATAGGACAATTACCAGCATTACAAGAATTGTGGCTGGATCACAATCAGTTGCAACACTTGCCACCTGAAATTGGCGAATTAAAAACGCTAGCGTGTTTAGATGTTTCGGAAAATCGTTTAGAGGATCTTCCTAATGAAATTGGCGGATTGGAATCATTAACAGACTTGCATTTGTCACAGAATGTTATTGAAAAGTTACCTGATGGGCTCGGCGAATTGAAAAAGTTAACTATTCTTAAAATAGATCAAAATAGACTTTCTACCCTAAATCCAAATATAGGAAGGTAAGTATATGAAATGTAAATTTAAATTAAATTAACTTAGAAGTAAAAATAAGATATTATTAGTTAGAGATAAAAATTTGCCTATATTTTATATTTCAGGTGCGAGAATTTGCAAGAGTTAATTCTTACAGAGAATTTTCTTTTAGAGCTACCTTTGTCTATAGGCAAACTTTATAATTTAAATAATTTGAATGTTGATAGAAATAGTCTGCAATCTTTACCGATAGAAATTGGTAAGATAATAAAATACAGAATAGAAATTTTATGTACTCTAGTCTATTTACAAGTCAAGAAGGGGACTTCATCTACATTTCTTCCTTAAACTCATTCATCCATTTATATCTTTTGCTCGTTTCTCGTTTGTCTTCCCTTTTATTTCTTATTACTCTAATTGTGCTACATTTCTTAACTATCTTTTAAAAATCACAGGCTCTTTATTCACAACCGTATTGCACAGTTATTGTTTATTTCCTATTTTTTTCTTAATTACTTTTTTTAACTCACTGATTTCTGCTCACATTATCTTAACTATCCTCGCTTTATACTTCATCTACATTACTTCCTTTCTACTTAACTTAAGCCTAAACTTCTAATATGATTCTTTTCTTCAAACTTCTTTCTAATATCACTGTTCTTTATCTCTAGTCTTTCCTCTTCTTTTCTTGTTTTTCTATCTTTCCAAAAATTCCTTAATACTTTTCCTTTTGTTTTGTTTAAATTTTTTCCTCACATAAATACTTTAATATTTTCTCCTTATCTACTCCTAACTCCTCAAATCTTCCTCTCATCTCGCATTCTTTCATATAGTGTTTTATGTTCCATAGAGAGTGCTACATATATGTTTTATAAAAAACACTTCCCTTCTTTCTCCCTTCCGATATTTATTTTTCTTCTCTTCCGTATTTTAATTTGATTAATGTTCTTAATTAGCTAAAGAACTTTATCTTCTCTCTTCAACATTTTCAGATTGTCGTTCTTTAGCTAATTCGATACCCTACCATCAATAACTATCTCCTTATATTTTGTATTACATCTTGCCTTCTAAATTTTTCCCTTTTCTATTGCCTCTGTATATCTTTTCTCTTCGATTAAATCTTTCTCTAAACTCCCCGTGACCCATTACTTCTCTGGATTCTATTTTTCAGCCGTTTCTATTATAATACACTTTTTTTTACTATATTTATCGTTCTCAACCTTTGCTTTTCCTCCCAACATCTCCTGACTAAATCTTCTGTATTATTCATTTTAATCCTTTCTTCATAAGATAATAAAATATATAGATTTTTATGCAATATATTGAATATATGTATGTATAAAAACAAATTTTATATTATAAGAAAAATAAATTTAAATAATAGGAATTAATGTTTTTCTATTTTCTAGGAAATCTGAAGAAATTGGGTGTATTGTCTTTAAGAGATAATAAATTACAGTATCTTCCGACTGAAGTGGGACAGTGTACTGCTCTTCATGTTTTAGATGTATCTGGCAACAGGTATCTAACGTTTGTAATTTGCTCTCTACACGTAATTTGCATTATTATAATTATCAAATACATAAATATTTATTATATAAAGCAAGATATAAAAATATCACGAATAAAATACGCTTATTTATTTTTATTAATATTAAATTTTGCTGTACACAGATTACATTATTTACCATATTCTTTAATTAACCTAAATCTGAAGGCGGTATGGTTAAGCGAAAATCAAGCGCAACCTATGTTAACGTTCCAAACAGATGTTGATGAGGAAACAGGACAAGAAGTGCTAACATGTTTTCTTTTACCTCAATTGGAATTTCATCCTGATGGTTAGTAATTACCGTTTAATCTACTTTGTTGATTTCTTATTTGGAGATTGTCCTGCAAATTTTCTTATATGTTTTGTCTAATGTTTTTTTTTAATTTCCTAATAAAATAACATAATACATAATAATTGATTTAATTAAATTAAAATTTTTTAATTTAAGAATATTACGAAGTTTATATAAATATATTACACGCGTACATTGATCTACACGGACACGATGTAAAATAAATAATTAAATATTTTTATCTTTTACTGTATCTTTTTTCAAAATTTCATCTGGAATATAGTATTCTTGCAGAGCTGGAAAGCGTTATTTTTTTCGTTACTTTTCCGTTACTTTTATAATAAACAATTTAATAATGACATTGCAATTTTTTATAACTAAACGCTAAGGTTTTACTAGATTGGAGAAGTCAAACTTTTTCAAACTTTACAATCTTAGCGTTTAGTTATAAAAAATTGCAATGTCATATTTATTATAAAAAGTTATTATAAATGAAAAAATAATAGAAAAATACTTCCTTACTCTATATTTTTGTATGAAACTATAAAAATAAATATCTTTAAGTCAAAGTCAAATGAAAAAGTTTGCCATCCCTGTAAAATGATTTAGGAAATTTTATGTAATTATTTTGTTTTATGTATTTGTCAATGTACAATAGATGTTTTTTTTCTTTAGATTCGGGTAGATTGGGAATGTTAGTTGGTATGAGAAATGTTCAAGGTTGTGAAATGCGTGAGCTGACGAGTAGCGATGATGAAGGTTGGCAAGAAAGAGAAGCCTCAAGAACGCATTCCGTGAAATTTACTGACGAGCCACCTGAAACTGATAAAGAGGTGTGTTCATTATTTTACAGATTTTTTACAAGCTAGTTTGTATTATTTTTTTGTTTTATCTTTTGTTTTTCATTTATCTTGGCAAATAGATTCCATTTATACGTCAAAACACACCACATCCAAAAGAATTAAAAGCTAAAGCGCATAAGTTATTTAGCAAAGGAAAAAGTGAAAGTCGATCAGAATCTACGGATGAACAGGTAAGTCTTATGCTTAATTTATTTTTGTTTTAGTTTTTAAATTATAGTTTATTAAAACAACTCTGTTGCTGTTTATTAAAACAACTACTGTGCATTCTTAACTCTTATAATATTCTTAATGGATTTTATTTTGTGTTATCTTGTAAAATAATCTTATTGAAAATTTTTTCAGGATGTTTCTCAAACATTTGGATTAGATAAAACAGAATCTGAACCACCAATCAATTCTGTAGATGTGCCAGAATGTGTTTCTGAGCAAGAGGAATATGTAGAATGCAATATTGTACAAGAAGATGATCATAAAATGCCAGCACTTGACATTGATGCTGATAACACAGATACTCAACTTAATAAGGAAGGAAATAATCTTCCCATTCAATCTGTCACGGAATTTCACACAGTAAGTAACTTTTAGAAATCTGTTTTTATTCTAGTAAATACATAAGACATTTACCTTTTATTTAATATATTAATTTTTAACACATATAAAGATGTGTATTGATTAAACAAAGTATCTTTAGAAGTGTTTATATGCATTGTGTACAATTTATATATTATGATTTACTATATTATCTTACATTCTTTTATATATATATTGTAAGCGACAACTCGCTTCTCATAGTTTTTAAGTTGGCAATGCGCTCGTTACCAGACTCCCTACCACAGCGTGGCGCTGTGCTATGGAGAAGAGACCCTGTGATTGGTCGACAGTAATTCTAAGTTCAAGAATACGTTAAGAAGTCGCGTCCTAGACGCTCTGCAATAAAGTGTGTTTTTAACTAACGTGTGTTTCATCCTAGATCTTTCAAGCTATTCCTGACATCTTTCCATCGTTTCCTTAACCGGTTACGTTTCTATTTCTACCCCTCGATTAACCTTGTCGAAACCTTACAATATATATACATATATATAAACACACACACACACACACACAAATGTAAAAAAAATGTGCATATGAAATAGAAAAATATGTATATATAAGGTCTTTCCATTTTTAATAAATTAAAAGTACTTTTTTTTGCAGAATGCAAAAACTGAAAATTCTGTCCCAGAATCAAAAGAAAAAGATGAAGAAGAATCTGAAAATGAAGATGTGCAAAGACACGTTGAATTCAGTATTGTAGAAGATGCAAATAACGAAGATGTTTGTGATTCAAATAAACCCAATAAACTTCAACGTAGAGACACTCCACATCATCTGAAAAATAAACGGATTCATACAACAGTTGATAAAGAAAAAGTTGCTTCTATTATTGCTCAGGTTGATATTTTGTATGTTATTCAATTTTACATAAAGAATTATTAAAGAACAAAGATCCAGTTTCGACCGTTATAGGCTTTTATTTCTATTTCTTATTGGTTATGTTTTTACAGTATAGTTCTATAAAATTTAATATTTAATATTATTTATATTTAACAATTATACCTTTCTCTATTGAAGGGACATGTAATGATTACTTTATATTTGATAATATGTTTACATGCACATATATAATCGATAGTAACAGTTAACATTTATATTTATAGGCACTTATGAAAAAAGTTGATGAGACTTCTACATCTTTACCATCACAAGTAGAATCTATGGAAACATTTGACACGCACAGTCAAGGTAATTTTAAGAATTAAATTAAAATAGAATCTATTTCATTATTTGCGCGCGCACACACACACGCACACACACACACACACACACATATGTGCGTGCATTCATTTATTGATAAAATAAATTAAGCTATTTTATTAAGTAACATTTATTTATTTAAATAAATACCAGATGTCGATTCATTTATTTAGTTCTTATTAAAATTATGGCTGTTACTTTATGATATTAATAGATTTGATTATTTAGAAGATTTCTTATTCTATTGTGGTTGATTTATAGAAATTTTGATTGAAAAACTAATAGGAGATTTTAAAGATTTTCTGTATGTATCTTTGAATCATTTTATTGCATAGTAGAAGGGGGAACATGTGATAAGATATATCTTACCCTACCTACAGTCTTATCTCTAATCCAGTTATCAGTGTATCTCTCAATGGTACGCGTTAGAAAATTGATAAATTGTAACAGTATACTTGTTATATATATGTGATATTTTTATATAAATAAAGTTATTTTATATAAAAGTAATAGATTACTTGATATATAATGTCTAGAAGATATAAATGTTTTATTAAAAACAAAAAAATTAGGAAAGGTAAATGTTGACATGCAACAGCAAGAGTTGATATATACTACATATGTATTAAAAACGTTGATAATGACTAATTAAAAGCTTGTTTTAGATGCTACATCTGATATTGAACCAGCGTTGGAAATACGGGAAGAGCAATATGAAATTCATATTGAAAGAACGACACGTGGATTAGGTTTGTCAATAGCTGGTGGTATCGGATCGACTCCTTTTAAAGGCGACGATGAAGGCATCTTTATTTCAAGAGTTACTGAAGGTAAACATTTGCAAGTGAATAATTTTAAAATTGTCGCATTGATGCATGTAAATATTTCTATTTTACGATCATGAAATATGTGCTTATTGTATGTTATAATATATGATCATTTATTCAGGTGGACCTGCAGATTTAGCTGGCTTGAGGATAGGAGATAAAGTAATATCTGTGAACGGAGTATCGGTAGTAAATATAGATCATTATGATGCTGTAGAAGTATTGAAAGCATGTGGACGTGTACTTGTGTTAGTTGTTATAAGAGAAGTTACAAGGATAATTCCGCCATATGAACAGGTATAAAATAATTATTTTATCATTTTTCATTCAAGTAATATATAAATTTAGTTGCCAAATGATAAGATTTTTATTTCAAATAAACAAGATTTATAGTCATTTTTGTCTGTTATTTTCAGGCACCAACGAGAAAAGATTCCGTATGTTCTAGCTTAAGTACAAGTAGAGCACCAAGTGCAACATCTTACGTTTCATCTACTGCATTATCACATACTTTAGAAAATGGCGACACATCTATATCTCATGAAACTACGAAGGTAATATATTAATGCTTTTTTATATAATAATTCAAATTTTAACATTTATATAAATATATATTCAATATTTTAGACAAAAAAGATTCCGGAGCCTATAATGACTGTAAAAGATACTGAACCTATGGTATCCGTTCTTTTTCACACAACATTAATACGAGATCAAAATGGACTTGGATTTAGTATTGCCGGTGGAGAAGGTTCGCCACCATTTAAGGATAATAGCGATGTAAGTACTTGTACAATAAAACTTATTGTTTACTATTATTTTCATTGTGATTAATTATTATCCACTATATTTTTTAGGCAATTTTTATCTCGAGAATAACAGATGGTGGAGTTGCTCAAAAAGATGGCAAATTATTGATTGGAGACAAAGTAATATCTGTAAGTATTTCTTCATCAAATCTGTATTACATTTGTATTAGACGATAAAGTACTTATAAGTACAAATTAATAATTTTTGTATGATTTATACACAATTTGTAATTTTCAGATCAATGGTGTAGATATGAGAGGAGCGAAACACGAACAAGCAGTGGCTTTACTTACAGGTTTAGAAAGATTTGTTCGATTAGTAGTCGAACGAGAAATACCACTTTCTCAAGCAAATCTTGCAACTGTTGTAACTCCTTCTGAAAAATCGCCACGTGTTATAGGTGCACCAAAACCTTACACAGGCTTATACAATGCTAATAGTTATATGGCAAATAGACCTGGGTATGGTGGATATCGTCGCTCCATGGATGTTGACAAAGCATTGACACCGAGTCCTACTTCAAAAACACCACCGTCGCCACCGGCATTACAAGTAAAATCTGACGAGATGCCTAAAATGAATGGTGTAACTGATTCAGGAAACACTCTGAAGAATATTTCACCAATATCTCCCAGCTCGACAAATAATCAAACGTATCCACAACCAGCTCCAAGACATAGTGTTTCGCAGACGACGCCTACAAATAATGTTGGTTCTGCAGTTATGACTCCTCATGTAGAGCCTAGACCAGCATCTCCACAAGAAGACATACAGGTACCGAAGCCAATCACCAACGAGGAATTTCAAGCTATGATCCCCGCTCATTTCCTTCGACCTCCAACATCCTCGCCTTCACCAGACTCCCATCAGGGCCCCACTGTGACAGTGACGATAAAGCAGCCCGATACTTTGCCTGGAGATGTTAATTTTCCTCCAGCTCCTACCACACTCGGTAAAGTTACTGAGACCATCACAAAGAGTACACTCACCGAGACCGTCGTAACTAGAGTGACCGACAACCAGTTGGTGCAACCACTTATTATCGAGGTATGTGCTTGTTAGAGAAGCATCAAATACATTGCACATAGACTGCCAATGCAACTCATTCCTATTAGATCTCATTATTTTCATTTTGTTATTTTATTCTGTCTTGTTTGCATTTATTGCTTTCTCAAAATTTCGTTTAATTTTTATTACATATAGAACTAAATATTTAGTTTATGCACATATTTGTGCTGAAAGCTTTTATTTATATTTTCACTTTTTATATATTCAAATTAATACTTGTAAAATAGTATTTTTATTTTTTATATCAAGTTTCTATTTTTTGATTGGCTGTGATTTGAAATAACTAAATTAGCTTAAATTGATAGTTAATTTTTAAATTAATAAAATAGATATTTTTAAATTCTTCAACACTTATTTTTTTTAACATTCTAAATTTATTTTATTTCAAGTACGGAAAGTGCAAGAAAATACAACTAAAAAATTTATTTATCTTCATTCTTTTTATTCATTATCGTTTTTCCTGTGTCTTTCCCCAGCTTTTTCATTTATATAATTAAAACTTCTGAGTAGTCGATGCGGCTATACTGATTGTGAAGCTTGATGTCAGAAATGAGAAGAAATTGATTTTTATTACATTTTATTTATAAATTAAGACAATTTGGCTAAAACAAAATGATGAAATTGCTTTAAAACATTTGAGTCAAAGCTATTTCTCCTGACAGTCAGTAAATGGCCATGAAAGGTAGTAAAAAGTATATGAAGTGCGTTTACTCAATGCGCAGCTTATTTTTAGTCATGCCTTTTACATGATTGCATTATTAAGACTATGTTAGACCAATTCCCACTCAAGTATCATTCCATCTTTGTAGTTTACTGAATGGTAAACAAGGATAATACCCGGGGAGCACCTGAATAGGAATTCAAATCGTCCCAGAAGAGAAAGAATAGCTTTTACTTATTTGTACAAGTGTTTTAAAGTGATCTTATTATTTTGTTTTACCCAAGTTATCTTTATTTACAATAGCATATAACAAAAATTAATGTATCATTTCTTGTTTATGATGTCACGATTCTGTGTGGCCACTGCGACTACTCAGAATAATTGAAGACATAACTGAGATATATTTCAATGAATATTTACTTCAATAAATAAGTTGCAATTTAAGAAAGAATTAATTATGGAAATATTATCTCAGAAAATAGAAATTGTAGACTGTACTGTTGTTATTTTATACATATTTGAACGTATATCTTTTCAATTGATTTTTATACATGTATGTATGAACCTTTATTCAATTATATTTATTCAATTATATTTCTCTCTTGTGTCTATTTTTTTATATTTTCATAAAATTATCTGAAAAATTAATAGGATGATCTTAGAATTAATTTTGATAACTATCAATGGACTATGATAATCTCAATGTACTTATCTTCTGGCATGAGAATAGGTAAGTAGTGTAACGATTTGTTTTGTCCTAGACTATATTCAGTAAAATGGAATAATAAAGTGGAGAAGTATCGTTGTCACTGTTTTATTTAAATAACAATTATATACAAATCCATAGCTTGTTCTATCCTTCTCTTACATACTAAATATTATACACTCTAAACTTTTATTCCCGTTAATATTTCTTTGCACTTTACAAAATTAAAACTTATTTGAATATATAAGTAATTTCGAAATTACGTTATTTAGGACGTCGTTCTTGTCAAAGAAGGCTCCTTAGGTTTCAGTATCATAGGAGGAACTGATCATTCGTGTACACCGTTTGGTGCAAAGGAACCAGGAATTTTTATATCTCACGTAAGTCTTTAGGCTTATTTTAATTTACGGTAGAGTTTATCTTATTTTATACACGCGCGCGTGCACACACACACACACGCACGCACAGGTATGTATGTGTATATGTACATTTATATGTAATTGTAACAGGTTGTTCCTGGTGGCATAGCAGCCAAGTCCGGTAAACTAAAGATGGGTGATAGGATATTGAAGGTGAATGGTACAGATGTAACAAAAGCTACGCATCAAGAAGCAGTAATGGAACTTCTAAGACCAGGCGATCAAATCGTGCTTACTATTCAACATGATCCACTTCCAGAAAGTTATCAGGTAAATAACACAATTTTCAGCGTGATACCGCTTAAACAGTTGTTTAGATGCTTATAAAGCTATAAGTCTACAAAATAAATATAACTTCACGTGTGCACGCGCACACACACGCATAAAAGTTTCAATAAACTTACATATTTTTTTGCCATTACAAAACATTTTATGTTTATATTATTTAACTATTACATATGTATGATGATTTATATTTCTTTAAACAACATATACATAATATTATTAGCATCTTTGAAATATTTATACAGTATGCAACACAAATAATACAATGATTTCTTAATATCTTTATGAACACATGCACATTTGAGAATTATTTTCCTTAGGGAAAATCACTTTAATCTTTATGCTTAGAATTATAGGCACTTTACATCAAATAAATGAATTATTTTTTAAAAAGTATTTCTTTTTTATTTTATTAACGTTTTCAAGGAATGCTTGTTAGTTGCGAACACAATGGCACTCGGTGCTTTAGCGTGTGATTATTTCCTTACCTAATGCGGTTTTTTTTTAATAATTTGCCCTGCAAGCTGGTCGAAATAGAGTACATCCCTGTGACAGTAAGTACTCGATGCATTTCACATGACCGTAATTTTTGTTCTCATTAATGCTTATTCCTACACCAAAGCTACAAATTTCACTCTTATGTTATGAATGACTTGCTTTTGCTTATGCCGTGCAATTTTATACCAATTCTTTATTTTATATTTAAGGGCTTTTTCTGCATTTTGTGCTTTCATGCCATTATATTTATATTAAATGCCAAATAAAAATAATATGATTTTTACTCTACAGAAATTCAATCGTACTTGGCCCGTTTTTACGATTTTTAAATTATATTTTTAATTAACATCGAATGTCTTTAAAGTTTGCTCGTTTAAATTTCAATTTTGTTAAAATATACGTACACAAATGAATTAGTATTGAAATTAAACAATTTATTGTATATATAATAGTATATCTCTCTTGAAACAATATTTTTTATTTTTATAACTTTATGCGAAAACAAACGAAGTAAACTGTTTTATAGTGAAAATTATATAGTGATGTAACTTGTTCTAGGAATTAGTAATAACAAAGGAAGCTGGTGAGAAACTTGGTATGCATATTAAAGGAGGGCGAAGAGGACAGAAAGGCAATCCTTTGGATCATACCGATGAGGGCGTTTTTATATCGAAGATTAATTCGGGTGGTGCAGCTAAGAGGGATGGACGATTAAAAGTGTGTATATCCAGGGTATTTTATAATTGCATGTCAATATTTTGGGAGAGATACACTAAAACAAATGAAAAATGTCATGTGTAAACATGGGCATATCTTAAGTTTTCAAGAAATAAATGATTAAAGAAAATGTTTGAAATGTCCGCTTTATACATCACACACGCTTTGACATATTTAATTTTAAGGTACAATTTCATGCAATAAGAAGAAAAACTGGCATTTTATCCTCACTTTACCACAATCAAAGCAGCGTTTAAAAGATGTTCGTTATTTTCCTTTTTATGGAGCATATTTTTGCTAATTTTAGCCAATAAAGTTGCTTATTTATTTTTGCTAGTTTTTAAGAAAAAATAAAATGGATTATAATAATTAGTAAATAGAAAAATACAGACGTATTCTTGATACCTTTATCTTAGTTAATAACCTTATTTAAATATTCTTTGTTTATATTTTCGGATGTTGCCAAAAAATTATCAGCCATATAATTAAAAATTAAAATATAATATAAATGTATATATTTATATCTCCGTACAATTACTTTGAGCATAACTTGAGTTGTATATGAAAATTGATGGAGTGGGGATAAAACAGCAGCTTAACTGAACGAAATGGTACTTTATGCTTAAATTTATATATTTTTTAATAGGTTGGAATGAGGTTATTGGAAGTCAATGGCACATCGTTATTAGGTGCGACTCATCAGGAAGCTGTTAACATTCTTCGTTGCTCAGGGAATACTATTACGTTGGTTGTGTGTAAAGGTTATGATAAAAGTGAAGTTGAATCAATATTAACATTATCCGATGATAAAGATAATAAAGAAGTTAAAACGTCTCACGATTCAAGAGATCCAACTACGGATGATACTAAATCACTGTCACAAAGTATATCCAGTTTAGATCGAGATGATGAGGAAGCTGCAATTCTTAGACAAGAACAAGAAATGAAAGCTGAACTTGTTGCTTGGGAACAAGAAGAACGAGAACGTGCACTTATAGAACAAAGAGAGAAATCCACACCTGAAAAGGTAAGGTTTGCTTATTTTATGTGTGCATAATAAATTTCAACAAATTGTGAGTTTTATTACTTTTGTACACACACAACAAATTTTGAAATATTTTCTATTTGCTATAAAAAATCTCTAATTCTCGAAAGTGTATACTGCGTACAGTTGCAAAATATACAACGTTATTACTGCGTATAGAGGGAGGGGGAAGAGAGCCAGTCGTTATTTTTTAAATTTTTATAAAAAGTATAATTATATTGTAGAACGAATCTATAAAGTGAGGGGTTATTCACTGACGAAAATGGTTTCCGATTTTTTGTATTCAAACTATTTCAATCTGATTTCAAAGTGATTTCGTTTGTTTTCCAGAAGGATTTCGAGACGCATAACCGAATATACGACGATGATTTTTTGTTTGATTTTAGAGCACATATAATGGAAGAAATCGGAATTAATTTCGATCGAAATTATTCAATTATTTCCTAGATTTTTATTGTGTTTTCCGAGTAAAACAGAATAATTCTAGTTGGAATCCATGCCAATTTGTTCCATGATAGAGGCCATGATAGATAATTTCTTGATTTCAATGATAAATGTTTGATTGCTTCGTGATTTTCTCGCTAATTTCGTAGGTGAATAACCCTTATTGTAAAGATTTATATCAGTATATTTTCTAGAAATTTCGAATTAGTTAGGTATATGTATGATAATTCAATTTGTTCTATTTATACTTTCTGATTTTGATTTTGATAGGTATTGGACGTTGTACGTGCAGCAGAATCATTAGTAAGCAAATCAAATAGTCCTGTTGATATGGTTGTACCACCAAAGTCACCCGGGGGCACTAAAGATCTCAAAACTACTACGATTGTTATGAGTAAACATACACTAGCACCTCAAAATCCTAATAGCGTAAGTACTATTAATTTTCTTGTATACACGCGCACATTTCATATTTCTTTTAAAAGTTTGACAGATTTAAGAGTACACGTAGTATGTCGCTCGTATATGTAGTGTAGTGTGCTAAATGTTGTTCTAAATATGTCTTTCCGTTAAGTATAAATTTTTTGTTTAATTTGTCGTTTATTTGAAAAAGAATTCAACACCACTCCTTAATTTATTTTGTGTATTTTTATTTGTTTATTATTTGATTAAATATTTTCACTTAATATTGTTAATTTAAGTATTTTTATCAAACATGAAAAAAGTTATTTTTCTTATTTAATTCTATTCTGTTAAATGAATAATACATTTATATTTTGAAGACTTTATGTAATATTGCATGAAGTAATTTTATTTCTTTCTCTAGTAGCTATTATCATTGATAGATTTTATTTTATCATTAACATTGCTTTTCTTTTTTATATTTTGCTTGGCTTTCTTACTTCATAGCTTTCAGAAAAATATGGCATGTACTCGTATGGCTTCACTTATTGCTAATCTATAAAGTATAATGTATAATATAATTTAAAATACATTTGTTTATTAAGTGAAATTTTTCAAACTTAGAAAAGATGTAAATTAATGTACATTATTTATTAATGTACAATTATTTGTGAAATTAAGAGACAAACTAGACTTGAAGAGATAAATTAAAAGTTAGTTTATTATTTTGAATAAGACACACATTTTAATAAAATTAATTTAATTTTGACAATACTTATACCAGATGCATATGCACACGTATACGCAACTACATGCAAATGTGCATTTCTGCATGAAATATGAAAATTTAGATTTTGAAAGAGACAAAATGTGCGTGCGTGCGTGTGTGCGTGAAAGAAAGAGAGGGGGGGGGGGG